TGTGAGTGTGAGTGTGAGTGTGAGTGTGTGTGTGTGTGTGTGTGTGTGTGTGTGTGAGAGAGAGTGTGAGTGTGAGAATATGTGAGTGTGTGTGTGTGTGTGTGGAAATGGCCTTGTCTCGCAATTGCATGATTTCCTTTGGACGGTGAACCCCAGTTGGTATCCATGGCAACCTGCTGGTCGTCACTTTGGTGACCTTTGAGTTTTAGGGCTCTTCTGATGCCTCACATCAGTGTTGGCACTCCCCATATATTCTATTCACTATCACTAACCGAGTAATTCAGGGGTGAAAAAAGTGACAAAGATGCGACCCCCCTCTCCCAATTTTCCATACCACATATTTATGTTTTTGTTTGTTTGTTATTTTTTTTCTCAAAATTATGCATATTTTTGTATATATTTACACGAAATGGGAACATGATATGTAAAGTTCACATTAAAGAAGATCTGCGAATTAATTTATATATTCATTCATTCATTCACGTAGGTAATTCATGGAAAATGTGCCATACTTAAGCGGAAGATTTCTGCTGCCTGGATGAAAACAAACACTTATAAAATTAAAATGACATGATATTACCATTATGACCAGTAGATGGCTGCAGATTCATCGCTCATTGATTCATTTGCCGTTTCCACTCCCTAATATAGTTATTTTCACATTTTATGCTGTTGAATTTATAATTAGACATTAGAAAATCACTATTATAACATTAAAAAAAATAAATTTTGTCAAAGTTCAGCAGTGTTTTGTACTGAAGTATGAAGATTATGAAGAGTTTCGATTTTCTGCTAAATGTGAGCAGTCCTCATTTTAATGCATCAGCTGTGTCTGTGACAGTAATGTCGAAGGGTGAGCGATTTATGTAGCTACTTACTTGATAATAATATTTTGAGCTCATTTAAAATTCTAAACAACAACAAAACCTTCTTTGTTTATTTTGAACAAATAATCTTTTGATTAATTATTACCTTTTATTAAAGAAATTTGTAAAATGTAGCTCATCAGAAGCATGGGTTTGATCAAAAAATGTAGGCCTGTATGTTAAATGCAATGCAGTTTGCTCTGGATAAAAGTAAAACATATAGAGCCCTTGAGCAGATCTGATAAGACCAAAATGAATGAATTAATATTAAGAATAACCAAAAAAATGAATGTTTTATTTACTTTTAAGTAAGTGTGCATTAAATGATTTGAAGGTTATCAGCATTAAAAGTTAAATTTGTCATTGCTGCTTTTTGAAGCATGGATTTTGTTTGGAAGTATGAAATAACAGTACATTTTTTTATCAGTTAAAAGTTATTTAATTTTATTTATTGCAAATTAAGACATCCCCAAAGTGAGTTAAAAAAAAGCTCTTGCTCACTTCTAAGCTATTGTTTGTCCTCAAACTGTACTTATGTAAACGTGCCTCACACACACACACACTAACACATTACTGTATGAATGTTTTTCATAAACAGATTTACTTGATAAATGATGTGACGTGTCATTATATGTCTCGCTGTTTGATTTAATGTCTGTCATTGCTGAATTCCCTGTTATATCTCACAACTGTCTTAATCATTTACTGCTTCAACTAGTTCTCTCTCTCTCTCTCTCTCTCTCTCTCACACACACACACACACACACACACACACACACACTATAATCTGAGATCCTCTGTTTCTCCACAGGTCTCTGCTGGAAGTTTTGCTGCTACACAAACATGTATCTCTTGTATTAAGTTGGGTGCAAAGTGTGTGAATTTTGCCATCTTAGACACATTTTGTGAATCTGCTCGCTTGAGTTTGAGTAAACGCTGTCGGTTTGGACCAAACTCTGAGCTGAGACGTTCATCATACAGTCTGACAGACGTCGATCAGAAATCACACAGTTTGCACTCGACTTCATTCTGACACAAGAGCAGATGCTTGTTGTTCCTCAGGTTGTTCGGGAGAAGAGGAAAATGTTGAATCTTTATTTCATTGCTCTGATTTTCTCTCTCTGTCTCTGTTTTTCTCCTCCATGCCTAAAATAGAGGTGGAACAGAAAGGTAAAGACGTGTTTCTTTCACCCCGTATAGCGTCTCTGTCGGCTTTCTGCCAACATGTTTAACATTTTCTCAAGTAAACCATCGTACATTTCTTCATGCCTGAGAGGTTATTTAGACACTGGCTTTGTGATGTTTAAACACATCGCTCTGTGTGTCTGTTAATATTATATTTGATCAGAGGAAATGTTATGTATGTGGTGGAGATGGTGTTGTGGTGGGCTCATGTTTTCTCGTGGTCTTCAGCTTCATTTCAGTTCATGAGTGTTATAATGCTCTTCTCCTGTGCTGCTCAAAACACAGACAAAACTCCTGACAATTTCAGTTTTAAAAGCATTTTATTCGATGAAGATGAGTATAATGTAATGCCATCAATTTTGTGGAAAAACTATACATTTTAAAGGTGTATATCTGCTTGAAGATACAATTTATTATTGTTTTATGTTTTACAAACAACCCCAAAAAAAATATTTGAACACATATGCACCTTTAAAATGTAAAATAAAATAAATACATTAATTATTTCATTCATTCATGCAGGCAAATAATAAATAAATGCATGCATTATAGATTACCTTAAAGCAGAGATGGACTAAAAAACACAAAACTCCACAAATAAAAGTCATGCACTCGTACACACACATGTAATGCAATTACAATGAATTTAATATTACGTTATATAACTATACACACATTTATCAGGCACACAAAAAAACTTAATTAGGCAGACAGCATCAAACGTGAAAACACATGCAAATGAGAGAACACTTGACAGTGACAGTAATTGCAATAAAACAAGCAAACACTCTAATTCACATAACTGAATAGAAATTAGAAATAAACTGCACTTTTTAAAATATATTCATTTAGCTAAAAATATCATTAAATGCAGTGAATGGACTTCTGGAGAAACTCTTGAGAGACGTTTTTCAGAATCAATTGAAATGAAAAGTCCAAATGAACTGATCCAATAAACTGAATCAGACAAAAAAGCAAGGTTTGTGCGTGTGTGCATGAGTCAAGTTAAACACTTTTAACATGAAAAGATCATAAACAGACGTTTGTGTGACTTTTCACGTAAAGTTATTAAGAATACTTGCGTCAAAATTGCACATTGAAACAAACTGATATGAGGCATTGCTGATTATGTGGTAATATCACAGACAAGTGATGGAAACACATTAATGTATTTTTAATTAATTTATAACCAAACCTTTATCATTTTATTCAAATGCTGCAGAATTTGCTTCACACGTGCGTCGAGTTTGTCTGTTCAGGACTATAAATATTATGTATCCTTTTTTATCTGCCAGCTAATTAGATCTTCCAGCATCAGTGTATCGGCTAAGTGCTCGCAAAGCCCCGTTAGCACTTTAACAGTAATGATATTCATAATCTAATTCCCATTTAAAACATCCAGTGAAGCCCAATCAATAACCCGGCCAATGAGCTGTCAGCATTTTAAATGACATCATTATAACTCACACACACACACACACACACACACACACACACACACACTTCTCAAGGCTCAATCTATCAGGTCTGATTTTTTTCTACAGCTTTTGCTTCAGGAATTAGATTTTATATTGGAAACTGAGTGTCAAAATAGTTTATTGTGCAAAACTGAACCAAAATGAAACTTATTATTATCACCATGAACTGCACAGACATAAAAATATTCCAAAACATTAATTTGGCAGGCTGAAAAGGAAAATTGTCTATTTTGTTTTCTAACAGTCTTTTGAATATTGATAGTTTCATGCTCTCAGCAGCCAGTAATTAATAAACGAAATGCTTCAAAACACATTTATTTTCATAACACATCCCGTCCATATTGGCATCTGTCTAATTTGACCAGCTTCTATGAAATGGTACATTAATTTTTACCAAAATACATTACATTTTTGTGTATTATTATGCTACCATTCATAAGTTTAGGGTCAGGATATTTTTAATTTATCCATTTATTTATTTATTTGTTAATATTTCTATTTATTTGTTTATTGATAAGAAATTAATACTTTTATTTGCATTAAAATTATTTTATTTATTACTTTTTTAAGTTTTCCAAATAAATGCTGTTTTAAATTAATCAAAAGAAAAAAATAAATGTTGACAATTATTTAATTAAAAAAAATAAATAAATAAAAATAATAATAATAATAAAAATAATAATAATTTAGCTTTCCATCACCGGAATAAATTAAATTTTAAAATATACATTTTTAAAATATATTACAATAGCTATTTTAAATGGTAATAATACGGTAATAATACGTATAGCCTTTGAGATTAACAACAAAAAGTATACGGGGAGTGTTTTCTCTGCCCTTTTAAATGTTGATAAGCCTGTTTATTTGGCTCTTTATTATCCTGTCCTGCATGATTATGTGGTTAGCTGCATGTTATTATTTTACCCCTGCGATCTGCTGTTGGATATGGAGCTGCTGTAGACTGTAAGAGCAGCTGATCTGAGATCAGAGACGGTCACAGAGATGAGCATTAAAACACAGAGCTCATAGAAGCTCCCTCTTCTTCCTCATCTCATCTCTTCCTCTCGCCCACTTCATCTGGACTGGATCATATCGAAAGCAATAGCTCACCAAATAATGAAACCCCTTATCATTTACTTCAAACCAGGTGACTTTCTTCTGTGGGATAGATTTTGCTGAATTTGCTCCTTGCGCTTTTTCAAGTGTTGTCAAGCTCCCAAAACAACAAGAAAACATCATCCATGACTTGTATGACAAGTGTTCTCAAGCCAAACGAAAGCTTTGCACGAGGAACTGCAAACTAAAATGTGTTGTTTGAGGGGTTGAGGGAGATTTTCAGTTTCTGCCGACTTAAATTTGTCACTCAAAGAGACTTTATGACTCTAGAAGATGTGTATTGCCGTCATATGAAGTCATTTTATGGTGTTTTTTGTAGTTTCTGAAGCTTGACAAACAAGGTCACTGTGAACTGGGGTTTGCATGACTGTTCATTTGGATTAGTCATCCAGAAAATAAGTCACTAGTCGGCTGGTCAGTGTTTATCTTCAGCTTAATATGCTGTGCAGCGTGAGCTCTTTTTTGCTGATTCTGCCAACTGCCAATAAAAAAACAATAAAAAAAAAAAAAACCTTGCACAAGATATTAAAGCTCATTTTCAGAATATATTTTAAATGTAGTATTATATATTTTTTTTTAAATATCATTTTCTTACCCTATTGTCAACTAGTTTTTAACATAAATCTGAACAATAAATTATTATAATGGGGAAGAAAAATAAACGTAATTCAAGATACAGTATATTCACTGAAAACATGTTTTAACAAGTTAATGTGGAATGTTTTGCTGGAAAATATGACAAAAATATTGTTTAAGGTCCAAAGTTGTGACAGACCTTAAATTAAATTTAAATACATAAATAAGTAGGTAAGTGAATGAATGAATGAATTAAAAATTTGTATATAATATACTGTATATAAATGTATATACTGTTGTATATATATATATATATATATATAAGATTGCACAATTTGGTAACAGCAATATGGATTTGTTGCTGGAAAACAGAACACACACACACACACACACACACATACACACACACAGATATGTTTTTTTTATTTATTTTGATAAATTTACTAAAGCAAAATTTCACAATGTATTAAAACTTGTTTTCACGGAATATATTTTGAGTAAATAACATTTTGAATTTATTTTTCTTACCTCCTTGTCAGATTGAACATAAATCTATTTAGAAATTATAATGGAGAAAAAAATAATAATTCAAGAAATGTCCTCTGAAAGTTAGTTTAAGCACATGCAAACATGTTGCTGGAAAATAAGACAAAAATACTGATTACAAATATGATTTTGTTGCAGTAATAGATTAATTAACCATCTGGTGCAAATACTCCAGTTTACTTTCATAATAAGGAAAAGAGAAGCATGAGCATTCTGTCAAACGTCTCCTTTAGTGCTCTACTAATCGAAAACAACTCTATGGACTGGTTTTGGACTGAGTAAATGAAGACCGAGTTATATTTTAGGCTGAACTATTCCTTAAATCCTTTCCTCCATCTGGAGTCGCTTAAGTTGTTTAAGAGTGTGTGTGTGTGGAGTGTGTGGGACAGCGGCGCTGACGCAGGAGCTGAACGGCCCTCTTCATTAACCTTTCTAACACCTGTGTAAGCGTTGAGCGGCGTATTATTTTCTCTCTCAGAGACGCTCAGACTAACTAATGGAGCCTCTGGATTCAGTCACAGAGCCAGAGGAAGCTTTATTTTTCACAATATCAAGCAACGAAATGAGTTTCTTCAACTATGGCCACTTTTGGCCCTGTGGACTTTTGGAAATTAAATTCCTTTAGAAGAAACTTTCCAAACTCACTGGCTTATTTTCTCTAATAATGTGAGCATAAATGCAACGCTGGAGAAATCTGACATTTTTCCTCTGGACCGTCATGAAGAAATGTAATTTCCTCAACCGCATCCATCACATTAAATACGTTATATTATATACTTCTGAATATGTTACATTGTATACAGTATATCTGTACTACTACTCTTGCATAATTTGCCAAAAAGACATAACTTCAGATAAAGCTTTATTAGAAAATAAATTAATAATTACAATAAATGATTATCTTAACACATCTTTTACACACAAATACATATTAAAATGGCTTTTTTATCTTTTTATTGTCTACGTTGTACATTATATAATTTATTTTAAATATATTTTCACGCTTCTTGCGTAATTCGATAAAAACAAAATTAAGAAATAACAAAATAAAGCTTTATTTCTAAAATTGTTTTAATAATTATTAATTATCTTCACACAAATAATTTCACGCAATAAATATTAATGGTTTATTTAACACTGTTTTGTTTATGCATTACAGGTTAATATGAGATATTTTAAATATTTCCATTCTTGCATAATTTGCTTAAAAAAGAGGTGAGAAGAAACTTTAGATAAAGCTTTATAAAATAATAATTTACTATAATAATCATAAGAAATTATTAATGATCTTCACACAAATAACTGGTTTATTTTACTGTATTCAGTTTACATGTTATATATTTTAAATATATTTACACTCTTCTTGCATTATTTGGAAATAAATAAAGTAACTTTAGATTAAAGCTTTCTTAGTGAATAAATTGTTATAATATTAATGCATTAATAATCTTCACACAAATCATTTCATGCAATAAATATTGAAATGGGTCATTTTACCCCGTTTAGTATTCAAGTATTATTCATTCACACATGTATTATATTTTTATGATGGATTTTCATAGTTTAGCATTGAAAGTTAAGGGTAAAGCAGTGAAATCTGCATAAAAGGCATTTGCAGTAAAAATGAAAGCTGAGAGTAAAACATTCTAACAAGACCGTTTTAGAGTGATCTTTATTGTTTTCATAAAATCAACCGCTGGAACATGAAAGTGGACGAAACAGCCAGATATGATGTAAGAATGGCAGCGTTTGGCTGTAATTTATTGACCGTTCGGAGCGTTTCTGCAATCATAAATATCACAGATGTAGCGTAGATTACACTGTCTGTGGTATCAACAGATTTGACCCTCGCAGGAAATTAATTGGAATGAGTTTATATATTTCTAACCTAATCTGGTTAAGTGTATGGATCGCCGCAGTCAGGCTTGGGCTTTAATCAATTTCTCGGAGCGAAAGCCCTGGAAAGAAACACAATCTTTCTGTTCTGATGCTGCGCCGCTGCATAGAGCGAAGCTGAATGGAGCAAAATATGCTTATTATTAGTTTTGTGAGCGCAGACGCAATAAATCACGTTGACACAAATTGACAATATCTTAGCATCGGGATGGAATCCGTTCGGATTGTAATAAATATAAGCTCATTATTATGTCTCCGTGGCCTCTGGCCCCTTTGACCAGCTGTCATTAATAAGCCACCTCTTATTTATCAACATTTTAAATGCCAACTTCAAGTCGAAATTAAATCTTTCCGCATGCATCCAATCCGTCTCCTCGAGGGAGAGAGTTCAGATCCAGCCTGATACAACACACCTGTCTGGAAGCTTCCAGAAACCCTGAAGACCTTGTTTAACCGCTTCAGGTGTGTTTAATTAGCGCTGAGCTCAACTCTGCTGGATAGTTTGGTGCTCCAGGAATATAGTTTGGCGCTTTTGGAGTAGATGCACACGTTTCTAAAGGACTAGTTCACTCCTAAAGAGAAACATTATTTACTCAAACTCGTGCTTTTTCCAAACCCTTGTGGATTTCTGGCTTCCTGTGGGACACAGAAGAAGACATTCTGAAGAAATTGGAAATGAACACGGGATTGGGGCAAAAATGCCCCCCAAATTCAAGATAACCAATGCATCAATGAATGCAAAAAATGCATCAATGATGTTGCTAAAAGTTCATTGGACATCATCTATAGCAGTCATTCTCAACCAGCAGGGGGCCTCGGGATGACTTAAAAGTATTTCAAGTAATAAACGATTAATATAAAAATAAAATCACACAAAATCAAGATGTGTTGTAAAAGGAAATATATTTTTTAGTAATAGTTTTATATTTATAACTATTGTTTTTATCGAAGAACACAGTTCTGGAACACAAAACATTACTTTTGGAATCACAAAAAATTATTTTATTTAATATTTAAAAAGAATTAAGCACTTTAATGTAGTATATTAATGACTTCAATATATAAAGCAGAAGCAGCATAAATGGTACGGATAGAAAGCTTTCGAATATCATGTTGGAAACCAGTGGGTCTTATATGCTGAGAACCGCTAATCTATAGCATTCTGACTGATTTAAGTAGTTGATTAAGTAATTAAGAGGTCAGATATTGTCCCTTAATGGAAAAGTTAATTTCTGGCCCTGGTTCACACTGCTGCTATAGTCACCACGGATGGCAAGCGCCCACAATAAAAAAAAAATGGCACACCAAATAACAAAATAAAATCTAAAATAAAATAAATAGTTGAAATGATTCTGCACTGTATTCCAAGTCTTTCTAAAGTCCTGAGAGTCTGACAATCTTCTTGACCGCAGACATTTGCTGTCATGGATGTCAAACTTGGTGTGAAGGCAAAATCTTCAGAGAATAATCTTCAACTTCATACTATTTCCCCACACTTGGCTACATAAGCTTTAGAATGTATAAAGACTTTGAACATTCTGCACAAATTCTATGGATTGTTAACCTTAATTATACTGTATGTGGAAGACAGCAGCATGAACATTCTTCTAAATTTCTCCTTTAGTGTTTTACAAAAGAAAAGTGAACAGATGACAGTATGACAGAATCTTACCTATTTCTTTGTGTGGATATCTATTGTAATGTAATGAGTGAAATTAATAGTGAAAGTAGAGTTAAGGAGTAAGATCCAAATTAAAATTAATTTGTAGCAAAAAAAAATGAAAACTAATGTAAAACGGTACTGTTTTAGTGTGTTTTTTGTTCTTTTCATAAAATCATCCCCTGGGACATGGAAGTGCTCACAGTATGATTATAATACCCATAAAAGTCACCTTTATTTATATAGCGCTTTTTTTTTTTAACAAAAATGGTTTTTTAAAGTTCATAAAACAAACAAATAAATAAATCAGATTTTTTTGGAGTATGCTTTGCATGAAAATACAGTCTTTCAGTGTTTTTCGATTTTCTGCAATTTCTGAGTGAAAATGATTTCAAATTGAATCTTGCACCAGTGTATGCATTATATAAATGTTACATTGTCTCGCGAAAGTGATACAGCACAGTCTTATTGAGCTGAAATACGAGAGTATCGACGTTTCTGATATGTTAAAGCATAGTGAAGGATTGTCATCCAAATCACATTTAATTCTCCTCCATAATCTGCATTTATCACTTTCCTTTTAAATATGTAATTTATCACCGAAAGCAGCCCAAACCTGTAACGCTGACTCAGCAACACATTTCTAACATACACTACCACTCAAAAGTTTTTGAACAGTAAGATTTTTAATGTTTTTTTTAAAGAAGTCTCTTCTGCTCAGCAAGCCTGCATTTATTTGATTCAAAGTACAGCAAAAACAGTCAAAATTTGAAGTATTTTTACTATTTAAAATAACTGTTTTCTATTTAAATATATTTTAAATGTCATTTATTCCTGTGATTTCAAAGCTGGATTATATTCCAGTCACATGATCCTTGAGAAATCATTCCAATATTCTGATGTTCTGCTCAAAAACATCTATTATTATTATAATTATGTTTAAAACAGCCGAGTATTTATTTTTATTTCAGATAAATGCTGATCTTTGGATCTTTCTATTCATTAAACAATCCGTACTCAACTGTTTTAAATATTGATGATAATGATAATAATAATGATAATGATAATGATAATAATAATCAGAAATGTTTCTTGAGCAGCAACTCAGCATATTATAATGGGTTCTGAAGGATCATGTGACACTGAAGACTGGAGTAATGATGCTGAAAATACAGCTTTGATCACAGGAATAAATTACAGTTTAACATATATTCTCACAGAAATCAGTTATTTTAAATAGTACAATATTTCACAATATTACTGCTTTTACTCTATTGCGGATCAAATAAATGCAGGCTTGGTGAGCAGAAGAGACTTCTTTAAAAAACCTTAAAAATCCTACTGCTCAAAAACTGGTAGTCGTATCAAACGAAAGTGCTTTCAAACCCGCGCTCACTTGTCTTTCTCTGTGTTTGTCTGTAGTTTTCCTGTGCCCAGGGCTCTTACGTGGCGTTTATCAGAGCGAGCATCTGTTCGAGTCGGACCACCAGTCGGGAGCTTGGTGCAAAGACCCCCTCCAGGCCTCAGATAAGATCTATTACATGCCCTGGACGCCGTATCGCACGGACACCCTCACCGAATACTCCAGCAAAGAGGATTTCATCGCAGGACGACCCACCACGACCTACAAGCTCCCCCATCGGGTCGACGGCACCGGGTTCGTCGTCTACGATGGCGCTCTGTTCTTCAACAAGGAGCGAACTAGGAATATCGTCAAGTTTGATTTGCGCACTCGCATCAAGAGCGGCGAGGCTATCATCGCTAGCGCGAACTACCACGACACTTCGCCGTATCGCTGGGGAGGCAAGTCGGATATCGATTTGGCGGTGGACGAGAACGGTCTTTGGGTGATTTACGCCACGGAGCAAAACAACGGACAGATCGTGATCAGCCAGCTCAACCCATATACGTTACGTGTCGAGGGAACTTGGGATACGGCCTATGACAAACGCTCCGCTTCCAACGCCTTCATGATCTGTGGGATCCTGTATGTCGTCAAGACTGTCTACGAAGACGACGATAGCGAAGCCACCGGGAATAAAATCGACTACATCTACAACACGGAGCTGAGCAAAGACGGCTATCTGGACATCCCCTTCCCGAACTCGTACCAGTACATCGCTGCCGTGGATTACAATCCCAGAGACAATCTGCTCTATGTGTGGAATAACTACCACGTGGTCAAGTATACGCTGGATTTCGGAGTCCTGGACAACAGGCTAGGTAAGAGCCGGAGTGTTTTGAAAGCTATGATCGCTTTCTCAAAGTGAATTGCACACAAAAAAAAAAGTTTCAAAAGGAAAATAGTAAGTGGATGCAACTTTGTTTAAGCCGTTTTGTTCATGCCTGATCGTCTATTTGACAGAGTTATAGTTCACAGCTTTGATGTAAACTTAAGGTTACAAAACCCTTCCATGTATATCAAAGATGCCCAAACTTTTCAATATGAAGGCCCAAAAATCAGACGTGATTCACTGGCCAAAAGTAAATGTTGCATTCTATCCAACATTATATAAATGAATATTAATACATTTTAATGTTATATATATATATATTTTTAAATACATTTTTTAG